GTCTCGTCAATCAGTCTGTTGCTCATTGCCGTTTCCGATTTTTAGCTTCGGCCGATTGTTTTTTCGTTCCCTGCAAAAATTCCCCCCCCCCCCCCCTTCAGGCCTCCGTAATCCTATCCGTGCACGATACCTCGCCGTCCCTAGCCCTTCAATCCCCCCGCTCCTAATCCTGATAAGCTATTCTTCTACCTATTCCCCACAGAGACCCTATCTCAATCTACTCCAAGATCCTCCTCCTTGAGTCATCTAGTCTCTTCGTGACCTAAAGCCGCTCCAGAATTGTTTCCCCATAAGGCGCCACGTGAAACATTTGCTGTTGTCAAACTCATTATCTTATCACATCTGGTGATGATAACAACAATCATACCAGTACTTGTACAACCCAGCGTGAGTGGCTACTTCAATTTGCTTTTCACATCTTTGGCTTTATTTAAGGGTGACTATGTCAACAAATGCTACCAACTAGGGTAAAATCAAATACCATGCTCTTTTGGCTAGCAATGACGACAAGTGAAGAACCACTCTATGCTTGGTTACATATATCTTTGCTATATAATGTGTATATGCACTTCCGGCATATGGGTCACATCCCTGACGGTAAAGAGTAAGGGACTAGATGACGGGGCATGGCTGCAAAACAGGACGCAAATTTCGCGATTGAGACTGATCGCTGGGGATATGAAATTCCCATAACTATCTGGCAATTTATACTCGTACAGTGAAGCCCCCGGCGCTAGTCCAGTGTCTGTCCCTGCCTTCTCTAGGTGAGTCATCTTCTGCAAACAGGGCAGACATGTATGTCATTAGTCTTATACCGTCCAACTCGAGCTCGCAACCTATGCTAGGGTCTTAGTTGGCCGAGTATATCAGATGGACCTGCATATCGACTGATTTTCAGATTTTTGGGTAAATGTCCTGCACGCGTCACTTGTGCTTGGCAGTAATGTCGCTTAGACCCCCTGTGGTTTCAATTGTACGCTCTGCTATTGATAAGCAATGAGTGATAGGGTATTGTGCTTACCACGTTCGTGTCAAATAACATTTCCAAGAAACATCACTCGAGGACTTTTTCCCATAGAGTACCCAAAGTAAAAAGAAAAGCATGAAGAGGCGGTGTTTTCCAGATATACCTGGTTCTTTCAACAATTATCCATCCAGCGTATTCATGGCTATCAAGTCTCGATACATACTGTGACAATTCCTGTGAAATTAATTGATCCTTTGCGCTGTGGTATATGCCTTCAAAGGGCCAAGCAGATGACGTTTATGCCCAGAAAAAGAATCGACCTCTTAGCACGTGAGCTAGAGCGCAATACTTGGAAACGAGAAGAGGACTAGAATGGAAAAGAGAGTCTTGAAACCGGAGAGAGTAAATTGATCAAATTTCTTTACAAATACAGCCATCACTATGCAAGACGTGGCTATGCCTTTGTTTTGTTTCTAAACGAGGAGTAGATCAACTCCCACTTATATCAGCCTTCTCCAAAACTTCCACCAGGAGGCGCCCTTTGTGCTGCATTCCCTCTTAGCCGCGCCTCCACGGCCCCTGACTCTCCAAAGGTAGACTGGCACGCCGGCTGCAACGAAGGCGATGACAAGGAGGGTCTCGCCTGGCTGGGCGAAAACGGTACGGGAGAGTAGAAACAGACTAACACAACAGAAGACTATGGGTGTTGTTATCCAGGTTTTGTAAGGGCGGTGCAAGTTAGGTTCTTTTACGCGCAGCACAATGAGGCCCAGCACGGTAGCGAAGTAAAACGTGTATCCGGCAACGCCATAAAAGGTGAGAAGAGTGCTGAATTCGCCGACGATAACGTAACCAATCGTGAGCAGCGCGTTAAGCACCATTGCGTTCACTGGCGTGTAGAAAACGCCGACGTCGTCGTCAGCGATAAACTGAGCAAGCAACGCAATGTGCGGGTGGGACGAAGGCCTTATCTGAACTCGCAGGCCATTTCTGCTGCCGATGCCGATCCGGCCGAAAAATGCCGGTAGGTAGCCCTCTTTTCCGGCTGCATATACTAGACGGCCTGATGTAAAAGTAGTGGCGTTGAGGGCGCCAAAGCATGAACCTGAGACCGCGAGCGCTAGCACGAGTGCGCCAACGCGGCCGAACACTTCTTGACCGAAGGCGACTGCGACGGTATTGGACGAATTGATGACGCGCGTTGGCAAGACAAGGTAGTAGGCAATATTAGCGAGTATGTATGATACCATGACGAGGGGCACAGATGTGTGTATGACGAGCGGAAGGTCTTTGGACGGATTGATGAACTCTCCAGTGACGTAGTTGACCTGAAGGTTGTCAGTGCTAGGGCGCAAATGGTATTCATGAAAAATACATTGTCCCAACCGTCAAAGGCCCACAGGCCTGCATAAATGGCTACAGCCCAATTGGAGATGCTTGTGCTTGTGCCATCAAACCATCCATGTTGTTTCCACTCCTCATTTGCCTTGTCTCTCCACGAAAAGCCTGTGAAGGCAACAACAATACCAACGACGGTTATGGCCAACAAGGCGACGAATTTTAAAAACATGAAGATGTTGGCCAACCTGGCGCCTAGCTTGGTAGACAAGCAATTGAAAAAGGTAACAAGAAAGATACCGGCGAAGGCAACAGCTTTGTTAATCCACATACTGACGTGCATAGCGTCTGCTCCAACGACAGCTCGAACCATGTACTCGCCGAATATGATGGCGATGATGGCGGCACTACCAGGTTTCAGCACGCACACCGCGGACCACGTGAAAAGGAAGCCGGCGCACTCGCCAAATATCTTGGTAAGATAGACTTGCGCGCCGCCATTGAGCGGTATGGCGCCTCCTAGCTCGGCGTAGCTACCTGCACCGGTCCATGCCAGCACGCCAGCGACGATCCAGACTAACAAGGACGCGCCAGGTGAACCTGCGTTTGTGTTGACCTGTGCAGGACTTGAGAAGATGCCAGAGCCAATGATGAGACCAATCACAAGAGCGAGCCCATTCAAATATGTCAGGCTCTTGTGCTTCTCTAGGCTGCCCCCGTTCACTGAGTGAGTCGAGTCGAGACCAGAATTGGCGGGCGTCCCAATGCTCGTATACTCGGTAGCAGTGGAGGAAAGGGGAAAGAGGTTTGTGGCGAAGTCAAAGGCGGATGAGGTAGAGTAGGAGCGACCTCGTGGGCGGCGGAGCGGGGTGAGACCATCGTGGCCAGTGTCATATAGCGGATCGTCATCATCGAGGGAGAGCTTGCGTGAGGAGTGAGTGTCGGAAGCAGATGAGGCGAGCGAGGATTGAGGAGAGGGTTCGCTCGATGAGGCGAGGGAGGCGAGCTCGAGCGAGTCTCGCACAGGGTAGACGGTCATGGCATGCGTTCTATTCATTCAATGGCGGATCGGATCTGGAGCATTGCTCACTGTTGTCGCTCTTCGGATCAATCAGTGGAAAGAACCATCCGTCAACATGCGAACGCAGGGGTTCGGAATCGGCGCTAATGCTAGTGGGAGTGAGTGTAGGGATGCTTTAGCTGTTGGCGACAATGTCTGCTTCCACGATCATGATTAAGCTCGAAAATATTGCACAAGTCTGCTTATTGACAATCTCTGAGCTTGATCAGGTTGACAAAGTCAAGTGGAGAAACAGATCTGGCGAGAACTGGCCAATGAAATCAATCATGTCGATCAACATGCAAGAGTCATTGATCAACGACGCAAGATATCATCGCACGTGGACAAACATAAAAATACAACTGTAGCGATTATAAGAAATTCTATACTGTTCTCAAAAATGAAAATGCTAATATGAACAGACTCAAGATATAATGCAGACCAAACGAACTGATTCGAGGATTGCTTCTGTCAACACAGCGAAGCTAAGGCTTGGACCAATCTCTGCCCAGTGTAGATATGTTAATTCCAAAGACGTTTGAACTGAATGTGACCAGCTGTCTGGCCTCCTCGCGCACTAGCAGAACTCCCAAGGGCACACAGCGTCGTCTGCATGAAGACCCTTTGCTCCAATCTTTGACTTTTGTAGCAAGGCTCCCTTGATCACAACACTGCTCTTCAGAGCAGCTCATACCTCTGAAGATCTTCTGCCTAACTACAACACACGCCCTTTGAAACACCACACACCGGTTGCGTTTACTAGATAGTGCTCCAGTCTCTAAACCCAGAGCGAGAGATTGCGTTTACGCAGTCCACCACTCATGTGTTTGCATCTCAGGCATGGAAATGAACACTGCCCTGCGATTAGACTAACGGGGGTGGGTTCAATCAAAAAAGAGTGAGAAACTGATTGATATTTTCACTAGAAAAAGCGTGCACTATAGGTCAGTCGGCACAAAACCCAAGCCCTACCGGAGCGCAGAGCGTGCTCTAAGAGGAAAGAAGCCCTTCCTTTTTTCCTATAGCGCTTACATCCACATAGCTCACTTGCTTGACGTTCGCGCACAAATTTTATTTTACAAAGAAGCCAGCCTGGCTCACATCTAAGACCGGGAGAAACTTGTCCATGTGGAGCCAAACCAAGGCCGTCGTCACCAGCGATACCAGTACGGACCACTCTTACAACATGAACAACTCTCTTATGTCCTACGTCATGACCGCTCTTCCTGGAGAGAATATCCCCACAGTGGTGCCGTTGTCAACCATGGCTTGAATGTGACCAAATTGAAGCCTGCTCACGATCAATTCGTCAAGGACAAAGAAGAATGGTTTTTGAGACGACAGTGAAGTAGTCAAGCTAGCACGACGGGAAAAGGACGAAAAATGGGAGCGAAGGCTCATAGATTGAGGACCGTAAGGTGGTTCAATGTGGTAGCAAATTTTGTAATCGGCTCCTATGAAGCTTAGTCGTCAGATTCTACTCATTGCCGATACCAATGTTGGTGTTGGCCTTGGCCAAGCGATGGACCGTATTGTGGAGGAGGTGGGGGTCCGAAGAAGACCAATGACTGCTGCTGCGATGGCAGCGTCGATGGTCGCTCTTGCTGTGACAAAGTATGCGACAGCGCTTGCGCATAGACGGGATATGGGGCTTGATACTGTGGCCGCGGGTAGTAGAGAGGAGATATTGGTAATTCTGTGAAGGGCGGGGGTACTGGTGGCGGGTGAAATGTAGCTTGGGGCTGTTGCCAAGAGCTCGGCGAGAATTGTGGCGTCTGTGAATTTGTAAATTGTGAAGTATTGTCGGCAAGCTGTGGGGTTGGATCGAGATGATTCTGCTCGTGATCAGACGTGCCATTCGGTGACGTGCGACCAGCACAGGTATCGGATCGACCTCGATTTGAATCATTCGCCACATTAATCTCTGAGACACTGTGCTCATTTCTTGGCGAACTGTCGGAAAGCAGATTGTGCCAAAATGGACGTGCAGGACGGTCTGCAAGTGGGCCGGCGATGGAGTGATGGTCCATTGGTTCACTTGCTTTCGGGTCCAGACTTGTGACCGAGGGGGAGCCGAAGTGAGCGCTAGCAGGCGGGCGGTCAATTCCAGTCTTTGTATGCTGTTTATATATGTCGATGCTAGAGGCCGGATTTGGGGGAGTGCTGTAACCACGATGGCGGCGAATTGTTGGCATGTTTGGTGCAATTGCAGCTGCATTTGCGACCTCAGAGTCCTCTTCTAAATCGACACGCGAGGCACTACTCGATATGTCAGATATTGAAGACTGATGCTTTGTGATTTTCTGACTAGGTGTATGACCTGACATCAGTTGTGAGCCCTGCATATAATTTTGGGTACGTTGAGAGGCTAGAGCAGGTTGGAGGGCTAAAGGATATGCGTGTGCTAGAAGCTCCAGGTGAGAGTTCTCAAGCTTGAATTCAGTGCCAGCAAGCTGCTGTTCTTGTAAAGCGGGTGCTTTTGACATAATTCTGGGATTTTCGCTTCCCGCAAGTGCTTTATATTCTGTTGCAGCAACTAGTGCTTGTAGCCCAAAAGCGTCCGAAGTTGATATCAGCGAGACAGGTTGTTGCGTATTTTTGACTTCTTCATGCTCGATTTGCGTGGCTGCGTAAGCAAGTCTGTGGAAATTCAATGCAGTGGCGGCGATCATTCGTCTTTCCTCATCCGCAGTGCCGAAGTCGAGGGGAAAGGTCTCAGCATCCACATATAAGTCCTCGTCCGGATTCACTTCTGCGCGCTCATAGTTTCCTTCCAATACTGACATATATTCCTTTTGGAATTGATCGCGTTGGTGGTATATCTTTCTTAGCCTATCCATCTCGAGGTAAAAGCGGCTCCGAGAATCATGCCGAGCATCCACGCGACCAGTAGGATTACTTGCGGTTGGCCGACCATGAAGAGGACGAATCAAAGCCCCATCCTGACAAACAAGTTAGTCCATTTGGCCCAAGTTCGCATTGCATTGCTTACCTCATCGTCAGTTGCTTCCTCATCAAATTCATGGTCATACTGGCGACTAAGCTCAAGGATTCTATATTCCGTCTTGACAATAAATTTCTCTTGAAGTGCCGCTAAATGATCCTTTGCTTGGTCAGCATCACTTGCTATCGATTCAGTGGTTAAGTTTATACCTCAAACTGCATCTGCAAGTAATCTTTGTCTTTCTCAAGCTTCCGGTTACAGTACTCTGCGCTCACCCGGTGCTCATTTTTGAGAAATGCCAAACGAGTCTGCAAACGATTACGGAGCTCTAGAGACAAATGTTGCTCAATCTCCCAGAATTCTTCGTCGTCCTCGTGCAGGTGCAACCGCTGGGAGGTTCGCGTCGCCAATTCGACCAAAAGGGGCTTTAGTGCTTTCGACACGGCTCGGTGACCCATCCTTAGCTGAAGCTGACGTCTCAAGCAGGCTTCCATGTACGGATCAGCGTTTGGAGCTCGACGTCTCCCAGGAAGGCGTCGTGCGGCCTTTTGCACGTCATGGTCGGACTCGAGGTCTTCGAGGTCGCCATTAAGAGATGTGCCAGGAACCAGGCTATCGACCAGTGACCCACTAGGAGTAGCAGCAAGTCTAACTTTTGGTTTTCGACCTCGGCGTTTGGGGTGTGGAGACGAAGGCGGTTGCAAATCGCTTTCCTCATCGTCTTGGTGCTCGTCATCAACAGAATCATCATCAATCAAAGACACGTCATCAAAATCGTCCGCTGCGGAAGTTTCCAACGTCGGCAAAACGTCTGGGATATTAGCGTCCTGATTGCTGTCGTCTGGGATGGGCGTTGTGTCTTCACTTGGTCGCATGGCAGATCCTGTCTCTGATGTTGTGTTGGAGTGGTCCGACAAGCGAGCCCGTTTGTATGGTCGCATCCCTGCAGTCTGCAAATTGATTTCCAGAGAATTCCGGCGGCTATCCGTACTGGGTTTGGACGTGGCTGTGGAGTTCGTTGCGGTCCTCAATGCTGTACGGCGGTTCGTCATGTGTAACATTAGAATCGATTGGAGACGAGATGGGTTCGGCTGCGAAGACTTGTTCTCGAGACCTGAGATTCGCAAGTGTTTGGACCTTAGTGGCCTGCGGTGGTCATCCTCATTTGGACTAGCGGCTGGGAGGAAATAGTTTAGTTCTAGTTCTAGTGCGGCAAATATGGGCCTTCGCGCGAGGCTTTTTAAAGCAATCATATTGAATGAGAAAGACAAGCGGGCAGCAAGCTGTGCATCACAATAGAAGGGCCGAGGTCAGGACTTACGTCTAGATAGACGGTGCTGTACACTCAATCTCCGGGTCGTCATGTGCCTTGAAGTCACTGCTGCAATTTGAATCCTCTGAATGTTATTGGAACGTTCCTCGCAAACCTAGAACGAGATACGATGCCATGGCATGAAAGAAATGGTCGAACTCAATAACATAAACTCGACTCGAGATTTTGGCCACCCGCTTCCTAGATTATTTGCCTTAGCGTTGCTCTTTTGCTGATCCTAATCTTCCGGGCGTGAATGGTTATGGCACGGTGTGGATGACAAGCCCCACGTTGTCTTCCAGCTCTGATCTCGATAAGAATCCGAGAGATCGATATCAAGGTGAGCTAACTTACTTGGAGCTTTCGTATTTCTTGGAAAAAACAGAAAAGAATCACAGTCAGGTGATATCAGTTTAAGCCGCTTTCATGCTGAGCTTAGAGTCGTAGCAAGATGCAAATTTTGGTCCAAAAAGGCAACAGAGTTGTTAGTCAAGGAAAATCACGTTCGCCAAGGACGACAAAGTGCGTGGAGCTTTGAAAGCTACAGATGATGATTCTGTAGTTTTTCAAATGTTGCAACAAAGCAAGCTCTTGCGGGTTATCCTAAACAACGGCAAGGGTTGGATCCTTCGGACCGGTGAAATATGTCGAATGTCACAGACCAGGTCAAGTGGCCTGGACAGGAAAAACAAATCCATGAGGTAGTAGGACGTCAAAGGGACTGAACAAAGTATTGTGAAATTCTGTCAGGTCAAGAAAAGTTTCCCTTGCTCGAGCAGGTCTCGCCTCATTGCAAGCGAGATTCAGCCTGGGATCCGCTCCCAGATGATCAATATTGTCGTGTTCAATGTCGGCCAAAGCACCCACGTTAAGAGCATAGAACTGAAATACGGCATAGGTCAATTGAAGCCGTGGAAGATCGGGACATTTTCTCCTCATAGCCCGAGCAAGCTGCAACATTGCGGACTTGACTACGTGAAGCTGTAAAGGACTCTCAAGTCTTATTTAGACTATATATGCCCAGGGTTTGCGCAATGAATCTACATGATCCTAGCAAACTGTCGCATGCACATGTCTGCGTTAGAATCACAAATGCACAACGCTGTGATAGCTGTTAAGTGACATACAATTCGCCATCCACTTGTAGCATAGTGCCTTTGAGCAGCATGACAGAAATGTCAATAGCGCTTCTTCATCTAACACACCAAAATTTCATCTCTATTTAACCATCAACAGCTCAAATCCGCGGTCAACTCTCTTATTTAAGTCGAAACTTTTGTTTTTAGTTCATTGATCTTCCTAGCAACGAGATGCATGTTTTTGAGTGATGGATCTTGAAAGTCTACCTGACTAGCCTGCATATAACTGTGTTGAATTCGCTGCAATATGACATCCAGAACGTTGGGCAGGACATCATGAAGCTCGTTCGCGTTCTACGCAACCCAGTTAGTCCGAACGATCAACAGAAGTGGAAGCAGACAATGCTTTGTCGATAAGAAAGGATGCCAGTCATCACTTACGCCAGAGTCGATCGCGCCAAGGCAGTGATCCACCCAGTGAAGCCGCTCACGAAGATGAACGCGGAAATCCTCGCTTACAGTTGCAGCGACAGAGAGAATTAGGAGGGGACTAAGCGTATTGAGGAACTGCGGGTCTACAAAAACAAATACTTCATCAAAGAGTTCAACCTTTCGTTCAGAATGCATCCACTGAAAATTGTTAGAACGGAAACAAAACCAAAATTGGATCTTGTGCAAACCTTTAAAGTAGCCTCTTCGACTCCACCCCGTGACAATGCGTTTTGGATTTCCACACGCTCGAGATCAGCGAGCGACAGCATCGGCTTGGCTGGAGTAACAGGAGCTGGGGTCGTAGATTGTGCTTGCGTGACTGGTGCAGTCCTAATCTGCTCTAGCATTTCCACGATCTCTTGTTGGCATTTCCGCTGAACTTGACTCATATCTACAATGATGCGTTGCAAGTTTTCAATGGCCTTGAACAGCCCTTGAATAGCGCTCTCATTTTTCTGCAGAAGTATCTCATGGGCGTGAATGTGTTCGCCAAAGCGGCGTTCTATTTCCGAGGTCATTTGCTTAACCGCCTCAATAGTGAGCTTGCTGATCGCCGGTGTGATCGTGTTTTGCATTGCAACCTTGAACTGCGTATCTACTTGTTGAGCAACGTTGTGAGATATTTGCTCCGCAACGCTCTGCAACACATCCTTGTCTTTCAAAGTCTGACTGACTGCAACTGGTAGGGACTTTTGCAACTCGCGTGGTACGCCAACTTTCATAGCTTGGTTGAAGGAACTTGCTAGCTGCTTGTCAATTGTAGACGCAATGATATCTTTAAGCGGACTGATCGCGATCTTTGTTAAGCCATCTGTAACAACACGGGTAAGAGAATCCTCGACGTTTTCTGTCAAAGTCCTCGAGACTGCCTTGAGAACGGCTTCCTGACGTGCGGCTGCCACAGCATCTTGCTTTAATCTGTCTTCAGTAATGCCGCCTTGTAGGCTTTCAAACTCGGATTTTAGTAAGGCTTCCAGTGCCTTAAAGTCCACGCGCGTAATGGAGTGTGCCAAAGCGGAACCGTCCTGCGAGGAGCTAGATAAAACCTCACTGTAAGCCACTGTGCCCTTTGCATCTGCAGTCTCGGTGTCCGTGTTTTGTTTACGCGTGAGAATACGTGTTTTAGATGGACCAGTCTCCGCGGCGGATTTACTGAACTCCTCTAGCGGCGCAAACGATGGTGCAGCTGGAGCTTTGGTGGGCTGTTCTTGACCTTGAGGATTTGACTTCTCCTTCTTCTTCCTCTTCTTCTCTGCTTTTTCCGTACTAGATTCGGCCTCCTTGTTCTGGGCCTTTAGAATTTGAGTAGGCGCGTGCTCGACTCTCCGTCCTCCTTTCCTCGCCTCTCCAACACCGTTGCTAGGAGCGACAGACATCGTCTCCGAGGTTACAGAACCTGTGTCACCAGCAATAGCTGGAGGTAAAGGTCTGATGTTTCCTACTTTGATAGCGTCCTTGACATCAAGTGCAGAGGTACCAGTAACCACGCGGCTGGTTTCGCTTAAACCTAACATAGCTCGGTCGACCTTCACTTCCGATATACCATGGGAATGCATGATATACAAAACAAAGGCAGGCATGTCATCACCATAGTGGGAACCAGGTTCTGCAAGGATATCCATGCTACGAATGGTAGACGTTAGACTAAATTTGTACTCGCGGATGCCATTAACAATGATGGTGGACTGAGGTGGTGGCAGACTTTCGTGTTTGTCAGCTACCATTGATATGAATTTCGATTGGTTCATCGGAGTGAGTGTGTATTGCGGAATTGATAGATGCAAAAAATAAATTGAATTCCTTGTTGGATGAGCGACGGTTAGGATGCTTGTCTTGGCATGGAAGACGACACTGCAAATGGCGTCGGACTCCTGCTCATGTGGAAAGTTGATCTCCTGAACGGGTTTCCCGAGCATCAGGTCCCAGAGCTGAAGCGAATGGTTCTGTTTCAGGCCAATTATAACGTAGCGTAGTGCGAGGCCCTTGGTCATTGGCTTGTCCTTATCAATAAGATGGATTGACGTGGGCCAGGACTTCTCTGTGGTTGGGCATGTTGCTAATGTCATCAATGGGACTTTGACATCCAGAGGCACGGCGACAGCATCATTCTTTTCCTTGCCCTCATTAACAAGATTGCGAATATCCCAAAATTTGAGGCGGCCGGCTTTGTCCAACGAAATGATAAGGCTGTCATCGGAACTGAAGATGAAGTCTTTGCCGGCCTTGCCCGTGGAAATCCGTAGCATGTGCTCTTTAAGGTATTTCTCGCTATTGCAAACATGTGTTTTGGGGTCGCAGTATGCTGGGCTGCGAGCGACTCTTGGGTAGACAATATATATAGATTTGCCCCGGCCGTACGCAAAGTATTCCGGGTGGCGGCAGCTCAGTTTGACGCGCGTCTTTAGCTGACCACCGGCAGTATTCTCATCGCTAGACGGTACAGGCGGAAATATGAGCCCGTGCACTTCGTCTGCATCGTCCCCTTCAGCGTCGTCCGAAGCGGCAAAGTTGGACAACGGAGCCCAAAGCACCGAACCCTCGACTCCGGTTGCCAGTACCACTTCTATATCCTTCATGCCGATTTTCTTTTTCGCGCTCACAGCAACATTGAAAAAGCGCTCTGGGAGTTGTTTGAAAACTTCTTTGTGTACGCCAGTTTCCTGGCGAATCACGCGCAGTCCACCGTTTTTAAGCGGGTAGATCATGAGATTTGGTGTAGCGGCCACGAGGTTGCGGTCGATTTGATCGAATGGACGCTTGACACGAGCAATATCCAAAGTCATGCTTGGTGGGAATAATGGCGGGTTTTTCTCAAATTGTCGTATGATTATGGACTTGAAGGGTTGCATAGGTAAAGTGTACGTTGTAGCACCTCTCCTGGCCGCTGCCTCCCAGTCCTCGGCCTCTGTAGGCTTAGAAACTGGGTCTATTATCTCCTCGATAACAGCAGTCGTTGAGTTCGACGCACCCCGCTCCTCTACTTTACGCCTATCATCAACCTCTATATCGGAATTTGTTTCCGCTTTGATTGGCTGGGCTGCTTCCGACACCTTGGGCTCACTGTCGCCGTTCGTTTTGGACGTCTCTTGGACCATTGCTTGCCCAAACTGCTTCTCGACCACTTCACCCACGCTGCCCAGTGCTTCTGAGATTGTTTCGCGGTGTGTTTCTTTGAGCGGAGATTTGGATTTATACTCTGAGCCAGAGGGCGACCTCTGAGTCTTAAGGCCAGCACTTGAATGCAGATCAGAGATTCCTTCACTTTGCAAACCGCTCCCTTTAACAAAGCGAGTTGGGGGTAGAGAGGACTCAGCTAAGCTGGATTTCGGGGGAGCTTGGTTTAGCAGTTTGAGTAAGAAGTCTTGGGGACTGCTAGAAGAGGCGGGCTCCTCATCACGAAGCTCAAGCTGGCTTGCGGCTGGCGCGAACGTTGACAGAGGCTGTGAGGTATTGGGCGGACGGTTGAACTGCGAAATTAGGTCCGCAGTCGAGCTGACACGACCTTTCGTGCCACCTGTTTTTGTGTCCAGTGGAGTCGATCTATGTTCGAAAGTACTCGTCGGAAGAGTCGAAGCAGAACCAGGAGATGGCCGGAACTTCAGAAGGCTAAGCAAATCTGTAGCACGCGTTTGTGTCCCGACACCTTCAGGCTGAGGAGTATCCATGGCAGATAAATTGGGACTCTAAGCATAATTGGCTTACATTAGTTGGGGTGTTAAAATTCAGCAAGTACGAACATAGTGACAAACAAGGTGAAGCTAAAGGATGGACCCACCGGAATACTGGAAGAGCGATGAGGCTGTGGCGCAAATGGCGCAGTTGAGTAGACCGGCGACGACAATGAGGGATCTCTGTATGTTTGAGGCTTGACTGTCGAAGGAGATTGTTGTTTGTCCGAAGCGGACGAGCCGACCTTCTGAAGCCGGGCGAACAAGTCCTCCATTGTCAGAGTATACGAAGGTTTACCTGCAGCACATACGACAAAACGTACAGTGAAATTGAGATGTTGAAAGCTCAACGGCACCGATGAGATGCGATGCGAGAGGAGTGAGGTAATGCTCTTTGAATGCAAATGAGTCCAAGATGACAGTACAAAAGTGCAACCAGCGCCAAGATGTGAGCGTGAGATTACTACCAGAACCGGATTTGGTAACCGCTCAGCCATTAGCGTAATTAACTCACAGGACTGCAACTTGCGAAAACCCATGTTCGTTTCGCTTGCCTAAGAATTTTTAAAAGCACCATAGTCCAAACTATCAGTAGAATCTAGATATAGGAGCCATTGCTTTGGACTCAATATGATCGGACTCTGATGACAGTGAAAAGGCATGGGGCAAGATGTACTTGGCCCCTCTGTTTAACAACAACAGTGGGCCTGAACACCCTTCGCCTCGAAAATGGAAAATGGCTTGCAGTACATAATCTGGTGCAGCAGAGATGGGATGTTTCACCTTCGAAGTTATTCAGGGTTGCTGCAAACATGACTTTTATAGGGCCCACGGACGCCTCTGGTAATATTTAGCTCTTCAGATGAGGGCAAAACTTGGAGAACGATCGTGAGCTTATAAGATAGGCCACCACAAAATATCTTTGAACGTTTCAGAGACGTGTATACGAAGCAATTGTAGCCTCTATGACGGAGATGATTAAATCCTACGAGATTTCAGCCATTCTTTTCACAATGGCTATGCCGAACTGGGGCATAACGTGCCCCCAACCAGTCAAATTTGTTGCACCTTATATTGCACATCAGTGGTTTGATTTGATTTATTTCCTACACAGTTGCCGCAGCTCTTTCATACATCCGCTAACTTATGCATGGTTGGGAGGACTTCGGCGAACAGTCAACACGTGATAAATTACATAATCCATCCCGTCCCTGTCAGTCTAAGCACATACCAAGTATCACGTGACATAAGCAAACGCTGGCTAAGTTAGATAATAGAGGAGAGCCAGGGTTAGGGGACAGGAGAACAACCATACAATCCATCAGTCAAGACAGCATACAATGAACTAAGCAGGTTTACGATCTCACTTATGCACCGTCCATCGTTCCCGTGATCTTCCGCACAGACATTGACAGTCCCACTTAAGTTAACGTAATCCACCCCCAAGTGGATCGTCGCGTTCATCGTCGCCGCATTAATTGATTAAACGCGACGATGACCGACGACGACGGCCGCTAGGCTCTTTATCGACTAGGCAGGGTGGACCTCGCCGTCGCCGCCTATCGCCGAGGCGAATTTAAATCGATTAGAGCGACCGCTAAGATGTACGACGTCGCCGAGAACACGCTCTCGCGTCGTCTCCGCGGGGTCGCGCAGAAGCGCGGCAGCGTCGCCACCAATCGTCTCCTGTCGCCTACGGAGGAGGAGACACTGGTCTCCTGGATTCACTCAATGGCTCGACGAGGTATGTCGCCCCGCTCGGAGGCGGTTCTGCGCATGGCGGCGCTGTTGCTCAAGGAGCGAGAGCGATCTGTGCCGCCTGGCAAGAACTGGATTAGAAAGCTCGTCGCCCGCTACAATAGCCTCAAATCGACATATAATTGCAAGTACGACTACTAGCGAGCTAAATATGAGGATCCGGTGCTTATCAGAGATTGGTTCAAACGGGTACGCAATACGGTAGCGGAGTACGGCATCATCGATGACGATATCTATAATTTTAATGAGACGGGCTTTCAAATGGGCGTGATCATGACCGCAAAGGTCATCACCGGCACCGATAGAGCCGGTCCGCCGCGACAGACGTAACCGGGCAATTGAGAGTGGGTTACAATTATCAAAACCATCGGCCTCTACGGCACCGCAGCTTCACCGCTTGTAATGTTCGATGCCGTAATGCATCAGGCCGCTTAGTACGCCAACGGCCTCGTCCCCACTGACTGGGCTATCGCTGTCAGCGACACCGGCTAGATAAATAATGAGATTAGGCTGTATTAGATCAAGCACGTCGATAAATACACGAAGGTATAGACTGTCGGTCGGTATTAATTACTAATCCTCAACAGCCACGGCAGCCACGTCACTCCAGATTTTGACCGATACTGCCTGGATAACAGCATTGTCGTTCTCTGCATGCCGGCGCACTCATCGCATCTCCTGCAGCCGCTCGACGTCGGCTGCTTCACCGTCTTGAAGAAGGTGTACGGCAGCCTCGTCGAACAGAAGATGGGTCTTAGCGTCAACCACATCGATAAGATCGAGTTTTTAGAGCTCTATCAGCTCGCTCATAATCAGACGTTCAGTTCAAAGATCGCCGCCAGCGGCTTCGCCACCACCGGTCTCGTACCCTTCGATCCAGACCGGGTTCTCGGCAAGCTGCTTAAGCAATTCAAGACGCCGTCTCCGCCTCCGCAACCTTCTCCAGCTCGGTTGCAGTGGGAGGCGGAGATGCCGCACAATATTCAACAGCTGGAGGCACAAACGCGCTACTTAAACAGCGTCTTCAACGACGACGTCACTCGGGCAGCCCACTGACTCCATTGGATCGAGCGCTAACGCAGCTAGTCAAGGGCTGTGCGATAGTGATGCACAGCGCAGTGCTTCTAAGCAACGAAAACGAGAAGCTCGCCACCGAGAACCAGCGATAGAAGCGGAAGCGAGCCCAGAGGCGCTCGTACATGGCCAGAGGAGGCATATTTACAGGAGAGGAGGCGACAAATATGATCAAACGGGCGACGGAGGCGGCGGCTGCAAATGCTGCAACAAATGCAGCGAATGCGGCGGAGGCGCAGAACAAAAGACGGGCGCCGCCGAGGTGCAGCCTATGCGGCTCCCTCGATCACCGGGCTCCTCGATGCCCTGGTTATCAGAGTGTACAATAGACGTCGAGTTAATTAGTTTTTTCGAACGATCGCAGAGCAATTAATTAATTAATGCGGCGACGATGAACGCGACGATCCACTTGGGGGTGTGATCCACATGAGGGTTGATTACGTTAAGTTAGCCTCACTTGATATCATCTCAACATTGAAGCACATCAACAGCAAGTACTCCCATTTTTAGGAAATAAAGAGCTCAACTGTGTTCATATATACCTCCTGGAGACCGGAAACCACTTTCTCGAAAGCCACATCGCCCAGTGTGGTGGTACGACATGGCGGCACTTCGGTCCCAGGAGACAACTAGGCCACCAACCTCCGCGAGCGTGTCCTAGAAATCACGAAGCAGTTCAGCGACACATTACAAACCATAGAAGGGAGATAGATAGAAAGCAACTCAGCAAAACCCTCAAGAGCGTACTACTCGCGCTCGTTGGAATCAAAGAGACCCCTGACGTGGCCACTCTGAGCAAAAAGGTAGATCAAATGCGCACAGAGACAGTGAAATGTTGGAAAAGCATTGATGAAACCTTCCGGCGCGTCCAAAAGGATATGGAGGTAATAAATGTGGATATACAAACAGCGGCAACAACAAGTCAAGAGCCGAAGGTAGCGGTAATAGAGGCCGCCGACATAGGCAGAACAGTAATAGGAATGGTAAAGGATATCAGAAGCAAGGGGATACAGCAGCAGGCGACTAAAAGCTATGCCGCTGAGGTAGCACAAGGTGTGATGGCAGCTAGTAAATATAGCCCACAAAGTATGAGGCCACCCGCTCAGACTTACCGCGAGATCATTGTGAATATCAGAAATGCACAAACCATCCCGCATCTGCGTAGCATGAACCCATGAGTATAAAAACGGTCACACTAAACGAAGTGCAAACATCAAGACAATCCGCGCAAGAATACGTCCCCAGGATAGGGAACAGGATGTCAATTCGCAGCCGGACATATGGCGTACTTATACACAGTATACGCACTAACAAAGACGTGGATATGGATAGATTAGATGATATAAGCGCTGCTATCCTGACGGAGAACAAGCCCTTCATTCTAACAGCAGAAATAAAACATATCGGATGGCTTAGCCGGAGGGCGCCGACCAGAATGCTCTCCATCTAGTAATCGAGTTTACCAAACCCGAAGATGCGAATAAGATCATCGATAAGGGGCTAAGTGTGGCAGGGGTGCTACCACAATGCGGAAAGATATAAATGATAATGCTGGCTGAAGCAATGTTTCAACTGCCAAAAATATTGCTATATAGGAACCTAATGCAAACCCAAAGCAAGATGTGGCTACTGCGCGCAAAAACATAACTCCCGGGATTCCCCTTCGAAAGCCGACCGGAATGTACCCAGGAAGTGCGCCTGCTGCCACGGCAGGCATGAGGCCTGGAACCACCAGTACCCAACCAGGAAGGAACAGCTCGCAAGGACCAAAGCAGCGTCCGGCAGCCGACCCAAGTATCACATGTTGCTGGAGGTCCCAAAGCCGGTAACCCAGTTTGGAAACCTTATAACTGGAATGAAGAGACAATGGTCGTTAAGAGACACAGCCATATCTCAAGAAGGCCGGGCCTTGAAGCAAAATAACACAGGATCAGTCAATAACGAGGCGAACAAGAAAAATGAACCATCCGCGAGCAGCCATAGACCGTAATGCGTGACTCATTTATCATGTAAGGCGCGGGAGATGTGAGACACCAACACGATTATCAACATACATGCAGAAGATAACATGGACACGACCCCTCTATTATGGTGGAGTATACTTAATTAAGCATACTGCAGTATAATGTTCAAAAATTAAAAGACATAGTGATGGGAACGCTATTACGGAACGCCAGGATGGCAGAATCGTGGCCATACAAGAACCATGGAGGAACCCATATATAGAAACCACACACGATCCAGTCAAAGGGACCTTTCATCTCTGCGCTAACCGCCTGAGACAGAGGGCCAGGGTCGGTTTTTTTGTAAACAAGAGGCTAGACCACACCAGATGGCAATTTAAAGCATATGTAAGGGATATAGGTACCCTACACATCAGATGGAATAAGGAAAATGGAGCAGCAGACTAGTTTGTCATACACAATATATATAATCCCCTGCAGACCTCGGAGGTACGCAAGATCGTGCTCTTGACAGTACCGGAAGTCTGCCAGGAAAATAGCGTGGAAGAGCAGATAACGCTAGGCGATTTCAACCTCCACCGCACTATGTGGCGTGGAGAGAGGGTAGACAAACACGAGAAAGAAGTGGAGGAACTA